GGCCGGGGCGGTCTCGGGCTGGGGGAGAGGGCCGCGGGGACGGCAGTAACAGTGTGTGGGGTGCAGCTAATTATTAACAGCTACAAACTGAGCATCACCGTGAGGGAATTACCTGGAGGATCTAAGTAAATTCTTTGCCTTTCCTACCTCCCCACCACTTTGTTAGACGCCTGTGTGCAAATATACAGTGCGGGGGCATATTTGTGTGCTACAGGGCCAGCTTTCGGATTCATTACTGTTTAAAGGCCGGTGGTAGGCTCTTAGCCGGTACGCTGTGCCGCTAGCAAGCGGCAGGACGCTTTGCCATACTGGGTGATAGTCTGTTCTGCTACACTAATTGCCATCTACGGCATCCCTAAGAAAATACGAAAATGAGCCACATACGGTGCTAGCTTATGCTTTGAGAAGTAGCTTTCCACTGGTGATGGACGGTACGTTGTGGTTTAGCGTAATCTATCTGCTCCTCTTTTCTTCTTTTCATGTGCACTTCCTACTGATTGTTTTTCTTAGCGATGCAGCTTTGGATCAAGGTGCCACTTGCTTGATGGAGGCTTTTGGTTCCACATCCAGCCTTGCAGCTAAAGAGATATGGTGATTTTATTTTTCTTTATTTCAAGTAAGCTTTAAGATCTTTTTTTTTTTCCTAGCAGTGTTCTTCACACAATGCGGCTGACAGACGACCCTCAAAGAGGCTAAAATGTGAAAAAAACAGTCTAGTAAAATCGGAACTAGAAAGAGTTGCATGTGGAAGTGAAAACCTTGCTGCATTGGGGGAAACACCTAAAACATCTGATGGGGATCGATGTTCAGAAGATCCCGGAGACCGTAATATAATTCAACAGAAAAAAGGTGAAAGCATTCCAGAGACTGATGAAGACAAACAGGAAAAGGAGCATAATGTTTCTCTTGAGCCACGTGCAGTGAAATCAAGCAGCGCTCCCTCAAAAACGGACAGTGCTGAAAATCTGCACAATCATGCCTGCAGTGAAGAAGAGAGCAGCTGTGAGAGTGTACTTTCAGATGGGTCTAGCTTGGAGGATGGAGATCTCCTGAAGAAGCCAATACAACTAGACAGTGGTGCTTTCTTGGACGAAGACAGCAACCAGCCAATGCCAGTGGACCGGTTCTTTGGAGATATTGAGTTTATACAGGTAAGATGACGACAGTCTGTGCACTCTACAGATTCAGTTCTGTTCCACTTCAGTCTTACATCTTCAAACAAAAGTAGGCTAGCCTCAAAATTGTAGGCAAACTTGACCAGTATTGGTAGACATCTGGAGCCATATCCCTGTCTCCTGGGTAGAATTATCTGTCTCAGAGACGAAATGAATTGCCAAGACATGTTAATTTCGGATGTGAAATCTTTCTTGTTTAGATTTTATTATTCCAATTCCATAAGATAGGTATTTTTACTCATAAAGACACAGTGTTATTCTGTCAAAATAGTTTTTCACTGGTCATTGCTTCTTAATCGTGATCATTGTAATTCTTTGGAATGGAAGCTGTTTTCTGGTGACCTCTGCTTTTGGATCAAGGGGCAGAGCTTGAAATTTGAATCCCTGGTCTGCCTTTAACATTGTATAACTTTGGGCAAGGGATGCCGCCGCCTTTCAGGTGTTTCATGAGGATCGGTATTTAGCAGGAGTCACGGTTGGTATTTAGTGGGAGTAGTGAGGATTCGTTTGTGGAGCACTTCACCCTCTCCGAGCCTTCTCAAGCCTGCAGAAGGAATGCCAGCCCTTGCTTTGACCATGAGCCGTAACTGGTTCAGGCAAGCTCCCCTGAAAGCTCCTCTGCTTTAGCTATGGGTTTACGCCACCGCTTCCAAGTGAAGAGGTGTGTGTTGGTGCCTCATGTATCAGATGTGGAAGTATGTGAACTGGTGGTGAGGTAGGAGGTCTGCCTCAACAGACTTTCCTTAATGATTTTATCTTTTTCTTAAAGGATCTCCCAGCAGTTGCACTCCCAAGCACAACGATGAGCAGGCGAGAATTCAGGAAGCTACATTTCATTGCAAAGGAAGATGAGGAGGAGGAGGAAGAGGATGTTGTCTAACAACAAACTGTAAACAAATGAAACCTTTTTTCTTTTTCTTTGCAACCACGTAATGATGGTTGGCTGTGTCTCTAACATACAGGTGTTGCGTTTGCCTTTTCTCAGAGAGAGAACTGATAGAGTTTGTTTTTTCTGGAATTGGCAGATACAGTATTCTCTCTCAGTTATCTGGGGCAAAGATTGAATTTTCAGTGATTTGGAAATAAATTGTAGTTTCTCATTTTACCATTAATATTTAGGAAAAAAACAGGGAAAATAGAAGTTCTTATTGTTTTTTTTTATAAATTTGAGCCCATATCTAGGGTGAACATTTGGTCTCACTCCTTTTTTTAAAAATAGCCAAGAAAACCGTGTTAGAACAAGGTCCTTTTAATTCTGTGATGTCTGCCATCGTGGCATCCAGTTAGTAATGCAGCCAGTTGACTACCCAGTGCAAAGAGGGACACCGGCCTCTGTTGTGTAAGTTGTGTTGCGTTGTTTACATCTAAACCAGAACCAATTAAACCTCTAAAATGCAGTTCTGCTGGCAAAACTAAATGCACGGATGTCAATGTGAGTTCAGGGGTGTTAATCTCCAGAAGTACGTTTTTATCGCATGTCAGTTCTCTGAACAGCCGCCACGTGAAGCTGACTGCTTCCTTCTCCCACCAGACCAGCCATAAGCATTGCCTTTTTTGTGTAATGCAGCTTGTGCAGTATTTTCAATTAACTTCCAAGGGTTACGAACAGGAATTTTGTAAACAAATATATTGGTGGTGATAAAGGAGGAATAAGCTCTCTCAGTGTTGGACTCGGTAGATGAACGAGTATTGATTGCTAAGGATATGGGTCAGTCCACCAAACTTGTTATTTTGGTCTGCATCTTTAGAAAATAATGAGCAACCTCAGATGATTTCAGGAACTGTTAACTCACCCGAAGTTTATGATAATACTTCTTTGAAAGTGTGATTATGCATTAAGCTTTCAGATCTTTATTGTTATAGTTTCTTCTACACTTCTAAAAATATAGAGAAAACGTTATCAGCAGATGGTTTAAATAAATATTAATTTCTACAGCTATAGTCTGTTAAACATTCAAAAGCCAAACAAATTGTATATGCATGACATGTTAATTTATTCACATTTCCACTCCAGCTGATGCATTGTTTCTGTCAACGATATTTCTTGGCTCCTTTTCACTCTAATTCTGTAACACAGAAAAATCTAATTTTTTAATAGCATATTCATGGTTTTCAGCACAACTCCATCTTGAAGTAGCTCTCCCAGCTTTCCTTAAATGCCGTATTTGCTACCGTCTCTTTCTAGCAAATATGTCTTCATACACAGATGTTCATTTTAGTTTCAGCACTGTGTAAAACGGTGAGTTTCAGTTTGTAGGAAGTGTGCCGTACAGATGACATTGTGTTTGTCATCACAGTCTTAGCTGTGATGCCTTCCCCAGTGTCAGAACAGCATAGTCTGCATTTCCATCTTAGTTACCGATGACGTACATTCAGTAAGGCAATCTGGAAGCATCGATTCAATGCATTGGTATTAGAAATCCTGCCTTTAAAATGCACCTACTTACTTCTCATATTGAAATGTTTGGAAGGGGGACTGAGTTGGTCATTTAAAGTAAATCAGTACTCTCTGTAGCAAAGCTCCCGCGTTTCCAAGACCTAGTAAGTTATGGCTCGCACAGCAACACTATCTTAGTACAATTCTGCGTGGACCAGCTCGATTTGCCCGGGTAGGAAAGAGGACCAATGATACAGGGGAAAACAGAGCTCTTCCCTAGAGATGAATGATGTTACTTACATAGCAGTAAGTAGCTAGCACTCCATTCATAAACACATTTCCCTGCGCTCAGTCTTTCTAGTCTGTATTGGCCACGCCATATTACACCTGATTAACCTCGTGTGCCTCCACATACAGAGACAGAAAGATAGTGGTAATTTTTTTATTTTAAAAAAATTCACATCGTTTACACTTAAAAGTCCCCAAAAGTTCAGTTGCTGTCAGCTGATACTAAAAAAAAAAAAAATTCTCAAGTAAAAATTGTAGTTTGTTACCTGAGGTAGGAAGTGTTTTACAAAAGCAATATGGTAAACATGATTATTATACAGTAACATTGCTTGTATTGCTTCAAGCAAACTCAAGCTAAAGAGGCAGAAACTGCTTGAAAGGAGAGGGAAATCAGTGGGAAAGCTGACAAAGAACAAAGGTGGTAAAAGCAAAGATATGCCACGGCCTTGCTTTTCCTTCTAGGAGATGCATGTCTAGAGCAGCAGCAAATGGAGTGGTCATGGATGAGTGCAGGTATTTTGGTACAGAAGAGCCAGCAGCTCTGCCACTGAATCGCCCTTTGGCGTATCTGAAATACAGTGGTTGTCTGCCTGGAAAAGGCACAGAGCAAAATAATTATCCTAAAGTATTCTTTGGCTTAATGTTCAGAGAAACACAAACCTACAAGTCCCCTCAGATCAGTTTTTAAGGAATGTTTTGTCCAAGTTTCATTTCTGTGTAAGTTTTGGGCCTACATTTGTCATGGCAAGAAAGAGATTGTAGGGCATCATCGGTGTCAGCCTCTGGCCTCATTTTTATACTCTGACTCACAGCTGTATTTTATCACACGTAACACAGTGTGATCTAAGGAAGGCTTGTAGTAAGTGAGAAGACGGGAGAGTAGAATTAGGCATGATAGGAATGTATGCTTTGTGAGATTGCAGTTGAATTACTTAGCAAGTCTCTTTTGCCAGGGACTCTTAAATAAATTTTTGTTTAAGAAACTAGAGCTATTTAAAAATGATACCATGTGACATGATTTTGAAAACAGCAGAAGTCACTTCCAGAGATAGCGCTATGAAATCTTGTGGTTTTGCTTCCTTTTTCTGTAAATTTTAGTTTTGTCACAGCTGAGATTATGGTTGGTTTTCTTATGGCAAGCAATATGTACAAGTTTTAAATTATCCACGGTAAACAGCAGCTGATAGAAGTATTCCCAGTTCACTTCTCTTCCATCTCGTGTTTTGACAGCTTCTGCCAGTTCTGGGACAACAGCACGTTTCTTCTCTATTCTTCAGTGCACAAAAGAGAAAACAATATTGCCATCATAAGTTTTTTCATAATAATCAAGTCTCCGTCACCCTTCTAGAGCCAGGCAGAATTTGAATTCTTTCCCCATAACTAGGTTTATGATTTATTTTTTTTCCTGAGGAAATTAGTTTAGCAAATCCTGTTTCCTTCACAAGTGCACAATGCCTGAAAATGGGTCTGAGGGTTTTTGCCAGAGAGGAGTCTTCGCAAAGGATAACGTGGTAAGGAGGGGTATGTTTCCATACAAAGAAAATCTGAACAGAAACAAAGCAGCTAATGAGAGACGGCATTATAATCTGTCTTTAGGATTTTGTAACCAGAAACAGCTGCAGCATCCAAGCATCTTTTATCACAATGCACTATTCATAGCGGAGCTAACTGCATAGTGCAGGGAAGGACGAGGTAAACGCTCAATGGCTACGCCTGTCCTGCCCAGGATGAAGGGCATGGAACAGGTAGGTTTGGATTAATACTTTGTACATACATGTGATCGAGATTCCAGGTACTGAAGAGGATCCTGCTTTCCCTGTTGCTGTAGGGGTTGATAGAATGCTTACATGGGCAGTCATCTCTGTCAAAAGGTCCCTGTAAAACAAGACGGCTACAATGAAAGGCGTCCTGCTCATCACCCCAGCGCGGTCCTTCTGCTTGCTATAACTAACCAAAGATAGATCACGCATGCTATGACATCACCCCGCCAAACTTGATACCGCACTACGCAAGCATCCACGTAACCGTTCCTTCCTCTGACGTCATTGCAAGTCATGCCACTGCTTGCTGGAACCAAGACTCTCTGCTTTAGAAAGGCCTGAACTTACCTGACAAGAGAACCATCCCTCCGTAGTGCACAGGCGGACTGCCTCCTCCTCTCTTCTGTCAAAGTAGCATCCGTTGTATTTCACAGATTTCAGTTTATCTGACATCAGGTCAATTATCCTTTTATATGCATCTCTCGCTGTGGGATGAACATTTGAAATAAAACTACTAACCTAGAGAGGGGGGGGAAAAAAAACCCCAATCATTCCTTGGTTCCTGTAGCAGCCTGAGGCTCTTTTCTACAATCAGTACGTTGCACTGTAAAAGCGTTTTATATATATGTCGTCACAGAATGACTTTTAGTAGTAGCTTGAAAATAAGTTACTGCAACAGATTTTTACCTCTTTCATGTAGCTTCGTATTCTGCTTTCACAACTGTACCGCATGTAGCTTGATTTGTTCTTAAAACGAGACTGTAGACCTAAAGGGAGTTAGATTGTGTTGCAACTTAGTACTTCTAGTGCTGTGCTTCTGCCTAGCTGGGTATTTATCCCTTCTTTTCACAAACTCAGTACGCACAGATTTTTTTTCTTTCCCATTTTTATTTTACTGGTTCAAGACTACCCTGCTTTTAGCGCTTAAAAGGACCAGGCAGAGCATCTGCTGTGAGAGCAGGAGCTGGTATTATAGTTGTTAAGTGTTTCTTGTTAACGTGCATACACAGAACACTAAAAGATTGTGAAAAGAACACAGAATTGTTCAGGAAGAACTGCAACAACGACTTGGGAGTGGGAGGGGGAACTTGCAAAGAAAGTATAAAGAAAAGATAAAGAAAGGTTAGCTAGCTGATACATGCAAATTCTCAGTACACTATTAGCAAATTGCTAAAAGATTGTAAATGCAGACCTACATTAATGGGGAAAAACGTATTGTAGAGCGATCTTGGAGAGAGTAATAGGGAACATTGCTTTTTTTACCATTTTCTGATAGTAAATATGCATGTTTTCGAAAGAAACTTAAAAACGCATGCTAGTGGAAGTGATAACTAGTCCCCTGCCCAGGTACCAAATCACACCAGCCAGAAGGACTCCCAGTTTTTTAAACTACTTTTCTTTAAGAACAGTAAAATTGACAGAAGTGACTCTTTCGAGCAGAGTGAGACCTGGTGCCCCTCAGCAGCTCCCTGCGGGCGACAGACGTACCTTCAAACCATTTCTTGTCGTCCTCCTTGTCCTCGGCCAGGATGTTTTCGTTCAGGTTGTGGATGAGGTCCGCCAGCAGCTTCTGCCTCCTGGGGGCCCGCTCGTCGGAGAGCAGCTGGCGCCGCCTCTCGACGACGGCATCCCTCTGGTTGTAGAAGGCAGCC